CACTGTCAGGTCACATCGAGACACAAAGTGGACTGTTCGCCAGTTCGTGACAAAGAAACAAACCGCCATTTACACCAAAGGCCGATTTCCGGTCTTCATCCGGTGGTATTGCCTTGACTTGCGCGGTTTTGTTTGTTCCCCGTTACGAGCAATCGCTTTCTTCTTGAGACGTGAGTGCGTCTCAGACCCCCGCCGCGAGATGGCGCCAGCAACCTTCCCCACCACCAAGTTGCGGTGGTTTCCTTGCACCGAAGGACAAGATCAATTCGTGGCGCTCGTCAGCTATTCATAGGTTTTGCCAATCAACACAAGGGAAGGGGGGGGGGTGGGTGCGTCGTTTTCCGTTTATCCAGGCGACGTGGATAGAAAATGTTTGGCCCGTATGCTTGTTTTTTAATGTTTTGATTTCGTGTTTGTCGACAATACAATGTTGAGCACAGTACAAAAAAATATCCATTTTGTGTGTTTTGTAGGAGAGGCTGGAAGGCAGGGCAGGGTTGCCACACGAAGGCTTGGAGAGACGAAGTGGTCATGCGACAGATAAAACTTGTATGTCAAGGCCTAAGTGTTCGTGTTCTGGGGAAAGAGAACGGAAGCGTGTTGCTGCCGCACCGGGGGAAAACAAAATTGAATATCAGTTAGGATGCTCGTCTTGTCGTGCGCGCAGAATTGTTTCGTTGCGGCCGTGTCGGAATGCGGACCCACGCCAACGTGTCACATGTCGGATGGTTTGTGTGTGTGTGTGTTTGTGTTTGTTTGTTTGCTAGTTTGGCTGTCAGCTGTTTGCGGAACCAGGAGGATGAGCAGAGCTCGTCATCGTCGTGTGACATCGCAGATCGTCTCCGTCCGGGCGGTCGCCTCCCACTGACGCGCGTTGACGTACCCGAGCGCTTCGCTCTTTTACGTTCTTGTTGACGGTGTGTGAGCTGGAGCGGGAAGGTTACAAAGTCGTTCACATTTGGAACGAGTCGACTTCACATCGAGTTCACGTTTGGCACAACCGACGACGTGACGTCGGCGGTCCCGCGACCTGCAACGTGACGTCGACGCTCAGCAATAGACGATCTGTGGCGTTACCCGGCTAACTAGCTCCGAGACGCCATCGGTGCTTTGGCGTCACTTTGACGTGACGAGCACTCGGGCCTCTTTGATGTCGACAAGTCAGTCTGGGTTCCATTTTAGAGTCAAGGCAGTTGTCAAGGTGTCTGCTTTGATTTGCAGTTCAGCTTTTCGCTGATCGGAAGCCGATGTGGGCTACGCAGGCGTTGCCTTGCGACGTGCTTGAGTGTTCGCGTTAGCGGCGGAAGGGAAGCGAAGGCGAGAGAAGGGGGCTAGCTTGTTACGACACGGCGAGCGGCCGCCATGGCGGCAGCGGGCGGCGGCGGTAAAAGCTTCTCATTTAAGGTGGTGCTGCTGGGCGAAGGCTGCGTGGGGAAGACGTCCATGGTGCTGCGCTACTGCGAGAACAAATTCAACGACAAGCACATCACGACTCTTCAGGTGAGAGTCGCCTCGAATCGGGATGTCGTAGGAATTAAAAACAAGCCCCCTCCCCGTCCCTGGGTGGCGCGTTGCAAGCTGGACTCTGCTGTGTTTTCCTCTGCTTTATGTCGCCGCCGCTTTCGAAAACAAGCGTCTTCGATTGTTCCTAACAGCATTCATTTTTTACACACATGCACACACAAATGTTTTGGGGGGCGTGAGGTACGTCATGCGCGGGCGGACTTTTTTTCGGGACCGGAGAACCAAGTTGAAACCCGCTGGCAGGTGCGCAACCGGGGCGGGTACTCTACATGTTCAAACACGACACATATTACATTGACGCAACTCTATCTCTCCTAAGTGGCTAACTGTCTACTTCTACCTGAATTTTACCATCTGACTGTCAATGACAATCAATCTAGTCATTGGCAGTGTTGTTTGTTTGTGCTTGGATTGACGTTGACAACTTATGCAGGGTGGGGCAAGTTTATGAGAACGCTGTCGTTGTTGGCGACTTTTCCAACCCCTTTTGTGTGCGTCCAAAAAAATAATAATAATAATTTGAGATTTAGCCGCATGTGAGAGGCTTTTGAACGAGGTATGTGCTTCCAAATATTTTACCACGGTCGCCACTTGTCCAACTTGACACGAGAGAAGAGCGTGCTACATTTGATGGATCTTATTATAATCTTAGATTGTTGAAAAAATCAAATCAAATCATTTTCTAAGGATCGGTTTGCAATTTTTCCAGAAGGAAGCACTTATTTTCACACTATTGAAAAAAATATCTACGGAAGTTGAAGTTGCAGGGGGAGAACAGTTGCAAGCTTGTTTTGAATCATGACATGAAGGCGATACCAAAAAGGGGACGGGGAAAAAAACAAAGCGACGCTTGCTTTGAGTGATGTCTTTGTTCTCAGAGCAAAAGGGAACCGTTGGAAAACGGTTAATTTGTTCTCATTTATTTCTTTTCAAAATGTGATTTTCCTTCGATGCCATCTGTCTAATTTTGCGCGTTGGAGTCCTCCGTCTGAATTTGGTGCGTGTTTGTGCAGGCGTCCTTCCTCACCAAGAAGCTCAACATCACGGGCAAGCGGGTCAACCTCGCCATCTGGGTAAGACCCGCCGGCGCTCTCGGGGCGCGTTTGGCACGGGGCAGGTCACGTGACTTGACGCGCGTGCAGGACACGGCGGGCCAGGAGCGTTTCCACGCGTTGGGTCCCATCTACTATCGAGACTCCAACGGAGCCGTCCTGGTCTATGACATCACCGATGAAGACTCCTTCCAGAAGGTAACGAGCTCAACGCTGGGCTCCGTGGTGGCGTCGGTCTGATCTGGCGTTTGCATCGCAGGTGAAGAACTGGGTGAAAGAACTGAGGAAGATGTTGGGCAACGACATCTGCTTATGTATCGTAGGTAAGTGGCGGTCGTCATGACAACGCAAAGCATCGAAGCTCAAGAACGTCGTCAGGTTTTGTTCCCTGGAAAATGTCTCTCTGCGCCCACAAAGCTTTTGAACCTCTGACCTCACCCATTTGCCCGAATGTGGTGCAGGGAACAAAATCGACTTGGACAAAGACCGGAACGTTTCCACGGAAGAGGCGGAAAGGTGAGTGAGCGGGCGATGACATCATTGCAGCCGGGGGCGGCTTCTGGCGCGCGCGACTGTCCTCGTTCTCGTCGTCACAGTTACGCGGCATCGGTGGGGGCCAAGCACTACCGGACGTCGGCCAAGCTCAACAGCGGCATTGAGGAGCTCTTCTTGGACTTGTGTAAACGTAAGAAGTCTCCCGTTTTTTGGGGTTGATGGATTGAGGTGTGCCCGCCCGCGCGTGCTTGTGTGATGCGGGCGGCGATGGGTCATGTGACTTGGTGTGCGCGTTCACTTAGGAATGATGGAGGCCGCTCAGGTCGAGGAGCGGTCCAAGGGAAACGGCGGCGGCCAATCGGCGTCCGGTCGAAGAGGCGTACAGATTGTCGATGACGAGCCGCAGGCCCCGCCCACCGGGGGATGCTGCTCGTCTGGCTAGCACGCACGCAGTCTCTGATCCGTTAGTGTCGCGAAGAATCATGAGAAGAATTTCGGAAGTAGCGGGAAACACGCCAGCCACCGTTTCATGTCCAATTGTGAGTCGACGTGAGGGTGGTCACTTCCCGACCGATAAAATGGCAGCGCGTGTTTGGTTGGGAAGCAGAAGTTGAAGCACAAAATGGTGTCCAATCGGCAGCATTCCTCATGATTAACAGCCGCGCTTTTGCATGCTTGACTGTAATGGCAAAACTTGTGTTCATTAAACGCTTCTTGAAAGAATCGTCTGTGCACTGCGTGCTTTGGCCAACTGGGGGGCGGGAGGGGCACTCGAGCTCACCTCGTTGAGTCGTCGCCGGTCTTCTTCATTCGGCGCCAACCCGCTTGCCCCACTTCCAATGCCGATTTAGCATCTTCGGTGCAAAATGTAGCCAAGCTATTTCTTGCGGCACCCACCCATCCATTTTCTGGTCCGATTGTCCGTGCCGGTGCCTAATCGCGGCCGAGTCACGAATAGACAACCCAACGCTCGAGCCCAGTGACCGCAAATGACGAGGACACAAGTACACAAGTCCTCAAGCGCACGGACGCAGGCAGACGAGGACATACGCAGGCGGCGGGGGTTTTGACTGGAATGTGGTCTTTATTCAGGGCAAGAAATCAAAACGCCGCTTTCCAAGCGCAGTAGTCTGAACAAAGAAAAAGGGCAAGTGCTGCGTTGACCGAGAAAAGCGCGACGGGTTTGAATTTGGCGTGCGTGTTGTAACTGCAGCAGGTTTGGGTGAACAGCGGTCCCTCTAGTACACGGGCGCGTTTTGCAGCTCCTGGTACTTGGGGGGCGCCGGCTTGAAGATGGCGGGCACGAGCATGACGGCGGGACGTCTGCCCGCCCGCAGCTGGTGGATGAGGATGGACGACAGGGTCAGGCCCAGCAGCTGTGGGGGGAAACGGGAAGTGACATCACCGCTGGCGTCAACCTGACCCCCCCCCCGCCCCACAAAACGCCTCTTACCGCCAGGAGCGCCAACACGAAGGCGATGCCCATCACGATGTCAAAAGCCAGGAGCACGTAGTGGACGATGAGCGGGAAACACGGCTGCACGCAAGCCTAAACCAGCGCCTTGCGCCTCGGCCGCCCCGCGCCCCTGCCGACGAAACTCACCTGGCGGAAGACGGACTTCCTCATCTGGAGCATCATCAGCTGTAACGCACACACAAAACACGTCACGTTGGGTTTTGATGCTCATTTTCATTGACGGTCGGTCTCTCACGTTGTAGTTGACGACTTGACATTTGCCCTCCAGCCGCGCCGCCTCGTCACACAGGCACGCG